TAGCATTGAAATGAAAGCACAGCATACCAACACTTATGGGACACAGTGAAGACAGTGCTTAGAGGGAAAATTATAGCAGTAAAATGCCTACATTAAAAAAGAAGAAAGAGCTCAAATCCATAACCTTAACCTCATAACTTGAGGAACTAGAAAAAGAAGAATAAACCAAGCCCAAAGCTACCAGAGGGGAAGTAAGTAACAAAAACCAGAGCACAGATCAATAAAAGAATAGAAAAGCAACAGAAAGAACCGATGAAACCAGAAGTTGGTTTTTTGAAAAGATAAATAAAATAGACAAACCTTTAGCTAGACTGACAAAGAAAAGGGGAGAGAAAATCGCAAATGAAAATGGGGAACTTAAAATCGACCCTAGAGAAATAGAAGATCATAACAGAATAGTCTGAACAATTATATGCCAAAAAATTAGATAACCTAGATGAAATGGACAAATTCCTTGAAACAAACAAATGTCCTGCCCTGACTCAAGAAGAAATAGAAGATCTCAGCAAACCCATTACAAGTGAAGAAGTTCCAGTAATCAAAAACATGCCAAAAAAGATCAGTCCTGGACCAGATGGCTTCACTGGGGAATTCCACCAAAGATTTATAGAAGTGACCATAATCCTTCTTAAACTCTTCTAGAAAATAGAAGAGGGGGGAACACTCCCTAACTCCTCATATGAAGCTAGCATTACTCTGATACCAAAGCCAGATGAAGACAGTACAAGAAAAATACACACCAATATGTCTTATGAATATAGATGCAAAAATTTTCAACAAAATACTAGCAAACCTAATCCAAAAGCATATTAAAAGGATTATATACCACAATCAGGTGGGATTTATTGCAGGAATGCAAGGGTGGTTCTACATTAGAATATCAATCACTGTAATATGTCACATTAATAGAGCAAAGAAAAATGATCATTCCAGTTGACACAGAGAAGGCGTTTGACAATCTCCAACCCCTTTCCTGATAAAAGCACTGAACAAGCTACGAGTAGAAGGGAAATTCCTCAATCTCATGAAGGGTAGTTATAAAAAAACCCCCACAACTTACATCATACTCAATGGGGAAAGACTGAGAGCTTTCCCATTCAGGTCAGGAACAAGACAAGGATGCCTGCTCTCACTACTCCTATTCAATATTGTGCTGAAGTCCAAGCCAGAGCAGTTAGGCAAGAAGAAGAAAAGGTATCCAAATAGGGAAGGGAGATGTAAAACTATCCATTTTCACAGATAACATGATCCTATATGTAGAAAATCCCGAAGACTCCATAAGAAAGCTACTAGAGCTAATAGATGAATTCAGCAAAGTGGCAGGATACAAGGTCAAAACACAAAAATCATTCAGGTTTTATCCATCAGCAATGAGCTTTCTGAAAAGGAAATTAAGGAGACAAGTCCCTTTGATCTTTTAACATCTAAAAGAAGACATGCTTGGTAAAGTAGAGGGTCAGTGAAAAAGAGGATTGACACAACGAGATGTGTTGACACAGTGGCTGCAACAATGGGTTCAAGCATAACAACGGTTGTGAGGACGGCGCAGGACCGGGCAGTGTTTCGTTCTGTTGTATACAGGGTCACTATGAGTTAGAACTGACTCGACGGCACCTAACAACAACAACAAAAGAATAAAACACCTAGGAATAAATTTAACCAAGGAAGAGAAAGATTTGTACAATGAAAATGTTAAAACAGTACTGAAAGAAATTAAAAACCTAAATAAATGGAAGAACATTCTGCGTTCATGGATTGGAAGACAGTATTGTTAAGATGACAGTACTACTCGAAACAGTCTATAGGTTGAACACAATCCCCATCAAAATTTCAACATCCTTCTTTGCAGAAATGGAAACGCCAATTGTAAAATTTACGTGGAATAAACAAGGGGCCCCGAATAGCCAAAGCAATCTTGAAAAAGAAGAAGAAAGAAGCAGGATTCACACTTCCCAATCTCAAAATATACTATAAAGGTACAGTAATCAAAATAGTCTGGTACTTGTGTAACAATAGTCATGTAGACCAATGGGATAGAATTGAGAGTTCAGGAATAAATCCATACATCTATGGTCAGTTGATTTTTGACAAGATTGCTGAGTCCATTCAGTAGAGAAATAATGGTGTCCTTAAAAACGGTGCTGATTTCCATGTGCAAAAGAGTGAAGGTGGGCCCATACCTGACACCATATACGAAAATTAACTCCAAATGGATCAAAGACCTAAATGTAAGACCTAAAGTTATAAAATTCTTAGTAGAAAACATAGATAATGCTTTGGGACCTAGTTTTTAAGAATGGATTCTTAGATATGACACCAAAAGCATGAGCAAGAAAAGACAAAAGAGATAAAATTGGACTTCATCAGAATTTAAAATTTTGTTCAACAAAGGACTTTAACAACAAAGAGGCAACCCACAGATAGGGAGAAAAATTTCGAGAACCATATATCAGATAAGGGTTTAGTATCCATAATATATAAAAAATTCCTACGACTTAACGAAAAGACAAACAACCCAGTCAGAAAATGGGCAAAGGACTTGAATAGACATTTCAACAAAGAAGAAATACAAATAGCCAACAAGCACATGAAAAGATGCTCAGTGTCATTAGTCATTGGGGAAACGTAAGTCAAAACCAGAATGAGATATCACTTTACCCTCACCTAAAATGGGTATGATTTAAAAAAAAAAAAGGGAGAGAACAGATACTGGCAAGGATGTGGAGAAATGGGACTCCTCATCCACCGCTGGTAGATTGTAAAATAGTGACCCTTGCTACAATAGAACAAAACACTGCCCAGTCCTGCGCCATCCTCACAATCATTGTTATACTTGAGCTCATTGTTGCAGCCACAGTGTCAATCCATCGTATACTATAAATTGGGGAAATCTGAATATTAAATATATGTTAAAAAAAAAAAACAGTTGCCATCAAATTGATTCTGACTCATGGCACCCCCATGTGTGTCAGAGTGGAATTGCACTCCATAGGATTTTCAAGGCTGTGACCTTTTTGGAAGCAGATCACCAGGCCTTTTTTTTGAGGCACCTCTGGGTGGGAGCTGCCAACCTTTCAATTAGTAGTCGAGCACTTAACCATTTGAGCTACCCAGGAACTTCTAAATATGTGTTAAATGATAGTATTGTATCGATGTTAAATTTTCCCCAATGTGATGATTAGATTGTGGTGATGTAGGAAATAGTTCTTGTTCTTAGATGATATGTCCTGAAATATGTAGGGATGAAATGTCACGATGTCACCAGCTGTCAAGTGGTTTAGCAAAAACAAACAAATAAGGAACAACAAATACTGTGTGTGTGTGTGTACATCTCAAATGTGGCAAAATAACATGGTGATTCTAGAGGTCGCTGTATTATTATTACAACTTTTTTGTAGATTTAAAACTTTTCAAAATAAAATATTAGGAAAAAACTTTTTTTTTCCTTTGAACATTTTATTGTGGTTTAGGTGAAAGTTTACCGAGCAAATTAGTTTCCCTTTCAACAATTTATTTACAATTTACACCGCTTGTTTTGTGATATTAGTTGCAATCCCTTCTGTGTCAGCACTCTCCCCCTTCTGTGTCAGCACTCTCCCCCCGCTTCCTCCCTGGGTTCCCCATTTCCATTCTCTGAGCTTTCTTGCCTTCTAAACTTTGCTTTTGGGCAAATGCTGCCCTTTTGGTCTTGTATGGTTGATTGTTCTGGGTGCACATTCCTCACAGGTGGTTATTGTTTGGCTGAAAGGTGGTCTCCAGGAGTGGGTTCAGTTCCAAGTTTGAAGGGTATCTAAGGACCATAGTCTCGGGAGTTCCACCAGTCTCTATCAGACCAATAAGTCAGGTCTTTTTTAGGAAATTGAATTTTGTTCTACATTTTTCTCCCACTCTGTCCAGGACCATCTATTGTGATCCCGTTCAGAGTAGTCGGTAGTGGTAGCCAAGCACAATCTAGTTCTTCTGGTGACCTTCACTTTTCATTCCTGGATCCCTAGAGTCCATTGCAGTGCTAGACACAGAGCAGAAGCTCAAAAAATGTCTGTAGAATTAGGTACTTTTGACCCTTTGTTAATTTTTCAAACCAATATTTTTCAGGATAAATATTTTTACTTTTATAAATATAGAAACAAGATAACAACGTTAAATATAATTTTGAGAAGAGAAAAAAAATTACCCAGACTCCCACCAGTATAAGTCAATAATTATAGGAAAAAAATTCTTAATGTTGTAGGGTATTCCATCTCCATGGTCAAATAGGCTGTTGGCCCACTAGAATGGCTATAACAAAAGACTGACCATACTAAATGTTGATGAGGTTGTGGAGAAACTGGACCTCTAATACAACGTAAAATAGTATAACCACACTGGAAAACAGGTTGGAAGTTCCTCAAAATGCTATACATAGAGTTATCATATGACCCAGCAATTTCACTCCTAGGTATATGCCCCAAAGAAATGAAAACATATGTCTACACAAAAACTTGGACATGAATGTTCATGTAGCATTATTTATAATCACCAACAACTAGAAAGAGTTCAAATGTCCATCAACTGGTGAATGCACAGACAAACGTGATATATCTACACAATGCAGTACCATTCAGTAGTAAAACAGAATGAACTACTGATTTGTGGTGCAACATAGATGAACCTCAAACACATTATGCTAAGTGAAAGACACAAAAGATTACATTGCATGATTCCATTTATATGAATTGTCGAGAAAACTTAAATCTTTTGAGACAGAAAGCAGATCAGTGTTTTCCTGGGGCTTGGGGGATGGGAGTGGGGAGTGACTGCAAATGGGCACAAAGGAACTTTCTGAGATGGACTGTAGTGATGATTCCACAACTCTAAATCTACTGGGCTGTTCCTTATTTGTTTGTGGATTAATTTTATGGTGTGCAAATAATACATTAGTAAAACTGTTAAAAATAAGCTCTGGATAAAAAATTTGAAATGGTGAAGTTTAAGACTTCTCCATTGTGCAATCTTCCCAGGTGCTTATGGAGAGACATATCCTGCCATTGAAGATGATGCCCTACCTCCACCATCTCAGTTGCCCTCTGCGAGGGAGCGCAGAAGGAACAAACTGAAAGGACTAGACTTTGTGCGTATGAAGTCTCTTTTTCTTTTTCCCCTTTTTCAGTTGAAGAGGATGAGGTCTGGGTTCCAACCCATGCTAAACTGGGTGGTCCAATAAAGAAAGAGCACTCACTTTGGAATGAGGCGTACATGGGTCTGAATCTAGGCTCTATCCCCAGGGAGTTGGATGACCTTGGGCACATCATTGAACCTGTCTTCTGGGGTGGTTGTAAGTATACAGCCCAGTACCTGGCACAGAACCTCTGCCCTATAAATGTTAATTCCTCACCCCATCTTCATCCTTCCCCTCCACAGAATTACATGGATTTCAGAAAAGTTGCAAAAAGCAACTGATACCATTTGCTGGAGAAATCCTGCTATGTCCTCATAATAACCTTAGACTATTATATAGGTGTGTCATCCCCATTTTGGTCAGATAACTTTCCCAAGGTCATATAGTCAAGAAGGCTGAGATTCAAACCCATGTTTTCAGTATACCCCACAGCTTTATAGCATAGTCAGTAATGAGTGCAGGCTTTGGAGCCTTTAGTACACATCCCAGTGATGTTACCTTGTCATTGGGTAGTGAGTGACCTTTGGGCAATTTCTTAAACTCCGTATCTGTTTCCTTATATATGACATGGAGATACAGTTAGAAAATATATGTGAAGCATTTAGCACTGAGCCAAGTACACAGAGGGCTCTCAAAAGATGACAAGTGCTGTGCTTATTAGCATTACAGTATGTCCAGTCTTACCAGCCAGCAGGAACTTGGATAAACTAGCTTGCTAAAGGGTAGGTGACCTGCATTTCCACTTAACCTTGATACTCTGAAACAGTAATGACTGACTCAATGAATTAACTTTTACCAGCTTCTTTATGCCATAAGACAAAAACAAAGGTTGGTACAAGACGATGTAAACCAGCGGGTTTGTAATGGCTATCCAGGGCCCTTGGAGGAGTGTTGTTTTCCTAGGGTCCATATACTCGTTTCTGATTTGGAGTGTATCTAACATGGCACTCCTGTAATTGCAATGAGTTATACTTTAGATTTGGGGCGTAAGTAAATTTCAACAATTGAGTTAGCTTTAAAAAAGTAACTGGCCAACTGAAAGAGCTCTCAATGGCCAGAGCTGGAATAATTTGAGCAAAACAAAAGATAGTTAATATTGGATTATAACCCAAAGAATAAAATAGCCATGAGTCCATACTGATGTAAATCCATGATTGAATAAGTAAATAAATGGGGGAGAATAGACAAATCTCCTATGCAGACCAATTCCAAATAATTTATGTAGACTCTCCACCCTCGAAGTAGAGCATAACTCCCTCCTCCTGAAGTGTGGGCTACACATAGTGACTTGCTTCCCAGGCATGCAGTGTGGAAAGGGGGAAAAACAGAGTGACTTCACAGTGGAGAAACCTGACGAACACTACAAAAAAAAGAACCGTAGGTATCTCTGGAGGACGGATGTGAAGGTGCTAAGAGAGTTGAGAGGATAAACTAGGCCTCCAGCTTAGTTATCCATAGATCTGTATTGACGTGGATTTAATCTCCACTCTGGTCTCCTGCTGACCACCCCAACTCCATCCCCATCTGCCACATGTTTTAGAAGAAGGTGCTCTAGATCGCCTTTAGGGACCCTTAGCCAAAGTCCAAGTTTAAAATTTTTCCATCTCGACACTGACAGGTTGCTTCTTCATCCTGTTGATCTACCATTTTGAGAACATTCATCTTTTTTTTTTTAATTGTGCTTTAAGTGAAAGTTTACAGTTCTCTCATACAAAAATTCATACACACATTGCTATGTGACCCTAGCTGCTCTCCCTATAATGTGACAGCACGCTCCTCCTTTCCATCCTGTATTTCCTGTGTCCATTCAACCAGCTCCTGTCCCGTTTTGCCTTCTCATCTTGCCTTCAGACAAGAGCTGCCCATTTAGTCTCATGTATCTACTCGAGCTAAGAAACAGTCTCTTCCCGAGTATCATTTTATGTCCATAGTCTAATCATTGTCTGAAGAGTTGGCTTTGGGAATGGTTTTAGTTCTGGGCTAACAGAGAGTCTGGGGGCCATGTCTTCCGGGGTCCCTGCAGTCTCAGACCATTAAGTCTGGTCTTTTTACTAGAATTTGAGTTCTGCACTCCACTTTTCTCCTGTTCTGTCAGGGAGTTTCTGTTGTATTCCCTGTCAGGGCGGTCATTGATGGTAGCCTGGCACCATCTAGTTCTTCTGGTCTCAGGCTGGTGGAGTCCCTGGTTTATGTGGCCCTTTTGTCTCTTGGAGAACATCTTTAAAGATGACATAAATACTGATTTTAGAAATCTATACATGGTTAAGTTTACATACAAGTATTAAACTAGCCTCCCTAAACCAGTCCTACATAGAAATCATCTTATTTTTTAATAGTCATATCTTGGTCAAGGTTTTCTTCATATCCTTGTTTTTCTTCTATTACTCTCCTTCCCTGCCTATCTATTAAGGAACAGATGAGTTCCTCCTTTAAGTTCCTCTTTTTTTTTTTTACCTTCTCTGACTTTATAAATGCATAAATGTGTGCTGGCACTCAGCCCTAGGTTGTTTTCTTCTGTTAATCTGCATCCCCAGCCATGCTGGGATCTCTCTGAATGGAGGAACCACAGAGACTTCATTTCTCCCAGTCCCCACAATGGACACTTGCAGTGGACTGATAATGTTTTAACAGCTTTACTGAAATAGATACCGTAAATTCAGACTGTTTTAAAGTGTTACAAGTTGGTAGTTTTTAGTGTGCAACCTAGTGTGCAACCATCACCAAAATCTGCGAACATTTTCAGCATCCCCCCGAAGAAACCCTGTACCCATTAGCAGTCCCTCTCCATTCTCCCCCTTCCTTCACCAGCCCCTCTGCTCTGCTGAGCCTTAGACAGTCACTGATCCACTCGCTGTCTCTATAGATTTGCCTTTTCTGGATATTTCATATAAATGAGATCATACAATGTGATCATTTGTGATTGGCTTCTCTCACTGTTTTTAAGGTTCATCTATACTGTAGCATTACTGTTCCTTTTCATTGCTGATTAATATTCGATTGTAGAGATATACCATGTTTTGTTTATATATTCATCCATCAGTTGAAAGATATTTGGGTTGTTTCACTTTTTGGCTTGTTACAAATAATGTTGCTATGACGTATGAGTTTTTGGTGTTTTCATTTCTCGTGTGTATACGTATGAGCGGAATTGTTGGATTATATGGCAATCTATATTTAGCATTTTGAGGAATCGCCAGACTGCTTTCCAAAGGGGCTGAATCATATTACCTTCCCTCCAGTAATTTTTGAGGATTCTGATTTCTGTACATTCTCAACACTTGAGGTTTTGATCTACATTTCCCTGATGAATAATATTGAATATCTTTACATGTGCTTGTTAGCTATTCGTGTATCTTCTTGTGCAGAAACGTCTATTTAAATCCTTTGCTCATTTTTTAATTGGGTTAATTTATCTTTTTATTGTTTAGTTGTAAGAGTTCTTTATATATTCTGGATACAAGTCCCTTATCAGATATATGATTTGCAAATATTTTCTCCCTTTCTGTGGGTTGTCTTTTTATTTTCTTGAAGGTGTCCTTTGAAGCACAAACATTTTTCATTTTGATGAGGTCTAACTTGTCAATCCTCCCTTTTCTTGTGCTTTTGGTGTCTTATCTAAGAAACCATTGCCAAGATCACAAAAATTCACTCCTGTGTTTTAAGAGTTTTATAGTCTTAGCTCTGCAGTTTAGGTCTATGACCCACTGAGTCAGTGTCTGCGTGCAGCAGGTGGGGGCCCACGTTCTTTTTTGCATCCAGATACCCAGATGTTCCAGCACCATGTGTTGCAAAGTCTGACTTTTCCCTCCATTGAATTTTGTGGGCTCGTCTGTTCACAAGTCTAAGGTTTTTTTTCCTTATGATTCTACAGCTGGGTTGATTCTGAGCCCCTGTTGTTTCAGTTTTTCCTTTTGCATCTTATACTGTATTTCTCAAACTTCCCCAAATGGCAGTATTTCTTTGTTATCACAAATCCTACACCTTATCCTTGACTGAAGGTCATCGGAGCCTGCGTGGATAAACAAACATCAGGAGTTAGAATATAAGTGCTACATATTTTCATTTGTTTTATTTTGTTCATCCCATTGTACATTTATCAAGGGCAAGAACATGTTTTGATTCCCTATTCATTCTGAATGTATTCTGTTAATGACTGTTTCTGAAGTTCTGTTTTCTAACTACAGGATAATGTTCATCCTAATGTACCACCAGATGGTCTCTCTTTAAAGTCTGTATCCAGCATAAATGTTGATGAGGTTAGAATGAGAAATGAGGAACGAATGCGAAGACTGAATGAACTTCAGACTAAACCTCTTAATACAGGTAAAAATGACTAAGCTTAGTACTTACAGCAGATTCTGTAAGGACTCCTAAGCCTGCTTCCTGGGAGCTTTTCACTGAAGGCTGGGGAATAGATGGAATGAGTTTTGAAGTCCTTTGAGTTGTGGGAGAGAACACAGTAGCCACCCAGCAAAGACAAGCCTTAGATTTGGTTTCGTATCAGATTATTTCTACCAGAGAGGGTATCCACTTTCGATGGAATGTAAACAGATACATACAGGTTTTGCTTATTAAATATATCCAGGCTTTGCTTTCATTAGAATAAGTGCTGGCAGAGTAATATAGAAGTGAGAGATTATCAGGAAGTAACTTTAATACTTTGAGTTCTTTAAATAACACATCTATTGTAAATCTGTAGTACTAGGAAGTTATTTTTACCTTTTTACTTGGCTATCTGCACCTTGGACAAAGCAGAAGGCCTCAGGTTACCATTTTCTCCAAGTCAGAGTTAGTCTTCTCAGCACAGGTAGGCAGGCTCCTTTGACTCTCCCCGCTTGGAGAAGCAGCCATAAAGCAGGGCGCCAGGGAGTGAGTGCTCAGAGCGTGCGCAGGCGCTGACGGCACCCAGGCCGGGAGTGAGCTGCTCCGCCAGCCTGTCAGTCAGTGCAACAGGACCAGTTTATCCTGTCTGGTTATTTCAGTAGAGTGGCCTCATCTGTACAGTACTCTAGACTATGAAGCTACATTAATTTTCTAATAGCAATTTCCCTAAGAGCCTACCTATAATACTGTGTTAATTTAAAACTGTGCTCACATCATCTCTAGCAGTCAGTGTCCTAGCAGACATGGTAAATCGAACACAGTACTTTCCATCTCATACATGGAAAAACGTGCAACAGGAGGAAGGTGACTTTTTCTTTCTCACTAAAAGGCCTTTTTCATCTGTCCTGTCTTCTTTTAGAACCAATAAGTTAATATTTAACAGATACATGTTTACATTGAGAGAAAAGAAAGCATTTTAACAATCTACTCTTTCAGAAGGTTTTCAATTTCTAAACTGTTTTTGTTTAACATTGTCCTTTTGAACAGGAGCTTTTTGGTACGATGTGGATTGATTGCTCATTAAATTGATTGCACATGTCCCTTTGCTGGGCTAATCCTTGACAGACCGGGAGATGTCTTTTTTTTTAAAAAAGAAAAATTGACATCACAGGGTAGGAAGACAGATTTTCCTATTATCATATCTAATAATAAATAAAATACAAGGTACAGAAGTTGAGTGTGATCAAGTCCATTTAAGAATGAAACATACAGTAAGAGCTACTTCTCCGAGCAGAGACTGGCTGAGCTACACCCTCTTAGGTCAGGAGCGAAGTCATTGACTCCCATGACTCCTGCTTTACCAAATGACATCATTTCCTTATAGCAGTGTTGTAAGTTGGGATTACCCCCAAACCTTGTCAATTTTTAAAAACTGTTCTGTGGTATCCGTTAGTTCTCTCTAGCAGGGAACAATGATCACATTGCCTGTACTTCCACAGGCCCCTCAGTGTCCTCTTAGAGACAGAATTCCAGGCCTCGCCCTGTAGGCGCTGGCAACATGGAGTCCCGTTATTCAGTTGATCATTTTTTGTTTCTACACAATTGGCCCCTTCCTGGGCTTGCTTTCCTGCCCCTGAAGTGAAGGACTGGATGAAGTAGAGCAGTTTGGAACAACACTGCGGGGAGGGCAGGGCTGTGGTGGGCTGGACCACGAAAGCCTTAAGTTCTAGCCACACGCGTGCACCTGCACCACCTGAGTAATGGTTTTTTTTGGCGTCCTTTAGATGATGAGAGTTCACTGGTTGACCCCGATGACATCATGAAACCAGTGGGTGATGACGGAACAAACTCTGTAGCGACTGAGCCCTGGCTCCGCCCTGGCACCTCAGAAACGCTGAAGCGATTCATGGCAGAGCACATGAATCAAGAGCAGCAGCAGGTTCCTGGAAAACCAGGCACTTTTCATTGGCAGGGCCTGTCCACCGCACACGGCTAATAAATGCGTACTGGACCCCACAGTGCCTCTAAGGTGAAAGGAATGTTACATCTGAACCTTTAATATGTTCTACTTTGGCCCTACCTGAAGTTACTTATGTTCCATCTGTATATAAGGTGTATTTTTTTCATGATGATGTATATTATGTACATAAATAAAAGGCCATGACTATTGATTTATGTAATGTAGAATTGTATAGGATTATTTTTGCACAATTTTGCCATAAATTAGGGTGGTAATGAACTCTTGGAATCAACTACCATGTATGCATTATCTTAAATTCTGCTTGTCATTAAGGCGAATAAAACGTGTCTTAACCGTACTTCAAAACCAGAATACTCTGTTAACATGCACATTTGCCATTTGTTATCTCTATTCAAAAGAAATTCATTTAGTAACTACATCTGTTGTAGCTGCAACTATTCATTTGCTACCTAATTAGGGAATCAAATGTGCTGGCTATGTTCATGTCATTTATAGCAACTGACTCAGGATAAATGATGGGACCCATAATTGATTTTATCCCCATGAGCCATGCACTCAGTGTTACATCTTTCTGCCTCTATTTTATTTTTGTGCCAATGAAGGCATTGTTTTAAGTTACTAATTTATATGATTTAACTATTTCTTAATAGAAATAAATTTTTATTTTCATTACCAATGTTGACTTCTTATTTAATGGGAGTTGAGGTTTCTAGACTAGGTGTTACAGAAGTTAGAGAGAGCCAGTAACACGGGGTCGGGGGTGGGAGGGTTAAACCATGGCCGCTCGGAAAAGGACTTAACCTTTGTAATCACTCAGTAAGTAAGTGGTGCCTTTAAAAAAGGAAAGAGTCATTCAAATTCTAGAAAATAATCTTCACTGGGATTAGAGTCTTCAGCACCAGACAGCATAATCACCGTCGGGCACTGCTGTTTACCCCTTTCCCTCCGACGTAACTCATGGCAGAGAGAAGATTGTGTGAGTGAGTTTGCAACAAGGGTGAAATTTCTGACGTTTCAAATTTTAGCTACATGTAAATTTTGTACTCAAGTCTCTAACCATGGGCTTACTTCACTATTAAAGATTTTTCTTCTTACACCTTCATCTTAAAGTAAGGTGACATCCTTGTTTCCTTTAGGGGACAGTCTTCATATTACACCATCAAATAATAAACCACCATGTCATCTGAAGAACTCGTACCTCAGAAAGACCTGAAGGTTCTGGTGGCTGACAGGGACAACCCAAGGTGGCTCCCAGCTCTAGCATCCAGCTGGGCTTGAACACGGCTGTGGCTCAGGGGTGACAAATACAGTGTCTTGGTTGTCGTAGCAATGTTTCCTCTCTTATAAATGCATTTTTCAATAACTGCTCATTAAAAGAAGTGGGGAGCAAAGACCGAACAATTCTGTTTTTTACAGAACCCCCTTAAGATAATTTATGGCGACATGTTCCACTTTCCTTTTTAAGGCCGTTGTCCCATACCACTTTAACTGCACCCCTAGGACCCGCAGTATCACACTGCAGACTGCTCCAACGGGCACTTGCGCTCCTTCTCTCAGTATTCTGGGTTAATGAATATACAAAACATTTAAAAATTATGAACATCTTATGGTTTAGAAAGAAAGTGTTGGGTACGGGAGGGGTAAGGAGGAGAGGGGCCTGATGTCAGAAGTTGGAAAGAAAACACTGGAACCAAATAAAATTAATTTGTAGTTTTGGCTGAAAATAACCTTTCCATGTTTGGCTTTAAATGAAAAATCAAAAAGAAACAAATCAATGAAACATGGGGCTGTGGATTACACAGGTTTTGATTGCACTGATGAAATAATTCAAAAACTTTATTGACCTATAACCTGATTAGAATATGCCAGATGAGAATCAATATTGTACAGAAAGTTGTACAGAATTTTTTTACATAGAAAACTTTACATCTGTACCATATACATTTTATCCATCTGCAAAATTTTCTACATCCACTGTTAATACGGAATGCTTGACAAGCTTGTCTTTTTTTAACCATCAGAGCACAATTCACAGTATGAATACATTTCCAGTAAGTCTAACCACCCCCAACCATGCCAGACTGGTATTTTAATATTATTCAACATTAAATTCTGTACATTGAGTAAAATCTACATCAAGCCCCGCCCCCAAAATTAAAGAAAAAAGTTACAGCAACCTAGATTCATTTTGCAGTGATTCAAGTTTCAGTCCATGAAAGATCATTGTATTTTAATGGCTCATCTTTAAAAGCCCTAAGAGAAGCATATTACAGGTAGTTAGGTCAGTAGTGATATCTTCTACCTTTCTTTGTTTCTGCTGTTGATCTTGACAAGTGTCAGCCCCAACCGTTTCTGGGCATGTTAAACCCTCAAAATTATCACCCCTAAAAAGGGCACAACCAAAAAATCCCCATGAAATAAAAAAACCCAAACGTTTAGTGCATTTGACAAAATATTATGGGTATTTAGCAAAGGAATAAGAAAATAAAGAAAGAAAATAAAACAGTGCAGGATGAGCTATATAATGTTTAAGATTTTTATATTACAAACCTGCATCTCTGTACATTTTTTCACAGAAGGTTGGTTACCAGGATCTCAGGTAGCCTGAGTGGGCAAAAATCCTCAGAAGAAGAATAGCATAGTTGCTAAATAGCTTTCACCATGACCAATAATTTCTTCTCCACCCCCCACCCCCCCAATTATAAACATTTGTATCCTTCAAAATACAGCTCTCCTGAGTTGTACTTCTTGCAGAAGTTCAAATCTTTACATCTACAGTTCTTTGGGTAAGTTTCACTTCCACACCTGCCATAAACACGTGGGGCCTTCCCCACCACCAAGGGCAGAGGACACTGTCCAGGCAGGGTTCCCGCTCAGCACGAGCCCGTCAGTCACTAACAGGGACCGGAGTGTTGCAAGTGTGAGTTTACAGTTCTAAGCATTTTTTACCAGTAACCCTCAGACACTGCAATTCAGAGAAACCATTTTCAGGTAGGAATCTCAGCTCCAGGGTCTTTTTAAAGAGCGGAGGGATGTAAACTCCAACAAAAATAGTTCTCAGCATTGCTTGTTTATTCCAAGTTCCTGTTCGGGCGGTTGTGAGATCTGAAAAACGACTCCAATTCGCAGAAAAAATCTTCTGAGAACAGCACGCAGTTCAGGAATCAGGTCAAATTGCATAATTTCACATAAGAGAGGGTAGTAGAACGATGCATGAGCTTTAAACTGGGGGAAAATGAATTTCTCCTTTTAGTAGTGCTTATACACCAAACGACAGAGCATAACACTGCCTTCAGAGTCCGAACGTTTGGGGGCATGCACTGACCGGTGAAAAGAAAGGCATCTGCATCAAGCAGTGACGATTTGATTAGGAAACTGTAAGATGGAGATTCTTCAAAAGACCCAAAAACACGACTCATTCGGGTATCTAGCTTACTCTGAAAAACAGCTTCGATCACACTGCCCTAACAAACATTTGGTTTTTAATCCTGGTAATAAGCAAAGGTGAAAAGCCAAGCATGAACTAGAGTTGAGTTTTTATATATCTGGGTTATTACACTGTTATCTTTTGTTTGTTAAATAAAAATTTAAATTTTAGGGAAAATGCTATCTCATGTTGCAATACAAACTATCTAATATAGTCTCTAGGCAAAGACACATCCCACATTTACAGTTCATTTGCATACTTCGCCTACACCTTTGCTGTAGTTCCTTAATTTCTGAACACTGGTCTGCTGCCTGTTTCCTGCTTCCTCACTCCTGGGACACGAAGGCGGTGTGCCAGCCTACAGAGAGAATGCAAGCTGTGCAGTGAGAAAAACTGGGCCTACAGGCCTCTGCCATGTGCTTGCTGGAGGCCTCGGGTCACGTCTCTGAGCGCCCCTGGGCCCTGAGGTCAGATGGAAACGTAGCTAACGCTGGGCTGAGCCGCGGGGTCAGCACCACCCTGCCTCTGTGGGGCATGTATGTCTTACACGTCCCGTTACGAGGCCACCTGAGCAGGCATTTTAAGACAACTTCAGGGGTCAGAGCAACCCCTTTCCATTTAGGTGAGCTACAAGTTGTTATATTTTTTGAAAAGTAAAATGTGTCTTTTTGAAAACCTGAAAATAAGTATGCATTTATATTTACAGTTACATGTCTGTTTTTTACCTTCATTTCTACAGGTGTAAAATTCTTCAGTGACTTCTTGGGCTATTCACTGGGGCTCTGTTTCACATGGAGCCACTACATATGCTGAAGGAACAGCAGAGCCTGGTGCAAAGGCCCAGGGACCCGCGGTACCCGGGAGAGGGGCCGCCGCAGCAAGCCTTGGAGGCGGCTGGACAGTTTTCAGTGTGGGGAGGCAGGGGGGTACTCTAGGGGTCCTCATGGGAATTTCAGCATGTGGGGACCCTGTAGCTTGTCAAGGTGTCCTAAGGGATTCTGATTCCAACCTGCTGATAGCATCACTGATGAAAGAACAAAGCTGGTAAGGAAGGAGAAAATCGAGGACAGGGAGACTGAATTACGACATCTGTGACGCCGCACAGAGCAGCCCGGAGTCGTTTCATCCACCTCTGAGGGCTCTCGGGCAAGAGGTCTGCAAGCTAGCATTCCTGCCTCCAGCTCCAGCTCACAGCACTGGTCAGTCTAGGGAAACGCGAGGCTGAGTGTTCTCAGTGAGGGGGCAGAGGGGCTCGTGGAGGTCTTATACTCACCCTATTATCACTTATCTTTAGAACTTTAGTTAGGAACAGCAGCAATAAGTTGGTCCAGGCTTCCCGGTGACTTTCGGATGTTAGAGTAAGGAAGTAACTTAGTGCTTCACTGCAGACACTGCAAAAGAAAAGCCTGCCTTTTCAATGTGCTCGCACACCTGCTGGAATGCTTGTTCACTAAGAAAAGGAGGGCCGTGAATATTCACTAGTAAAGAACTTGCTAGACTCCATCTGTTTACACTAACTGGAGTTTCAACATACACACTTGCATGTCTTTAAGTTAGGAAGAAGACCAAAGATATTAGAACAAGCCATCACAACTTATTAGAAAAAACATGTTTTCTTAATTTTATTAATTTCCTTGACTTCAAAGCTACCATGTAGCAGCAAGGACACAATGCTCAGCGTCTAAAGGCCCCAGGCTGGGTGGCCCTTCCCTCCTCTAGCCACGTGGCCTTAGACGCCTCTGGGCCACACTGATCTTGTCAATAACATGGGAAAATGAGAATAAAGTCTCTTAAAATTGTAAAGTGGATTTAACTGGTCTCTGAGAACATGTGTTCTCCAAAGAGACACGAAAATACAATGCAGATGACAGTATTCTTTCTGACTGCCACGCTGCATTCTTAGCATAAAGACAAAATACTAAGTTGTTATGAAGTGGAAAAAAAGAAAACAATACACCAACAAAAACCGCAAATATTTTTCAGATTAAATGCAGGTATTCCCTTTACAAATATCACTCTGTAAAAATGGGGCCACCTTATGGCATTAAATAAGCCTATAAACTATGACAAAGTTGTTTGTAAATGTTCAGATAAACTTTGTCCTCTGTTCTGTAACAGCAACAATAGAGACCATTTGTTTACGTCACCACTTGTGCAAAGTCACCACTTGTGCAAAGCACGTTCATTTATAAGATTGCATTTAATTTTCAAAATCACTCTGTGAAACAGGGGCATTATCATCTCATTTCACAGATAACACTGGCCCAAAAGGTCCAGGTACCCGCGGCCCTGCAGCATGCCGCCACTGGGCAGGACGGGGACCCTGCCTGAGCCCAGACCTCATGCCCTCCCTGTGCTCCGAGCCAGGCAGCAGGGCGTGCAGAGGCATTTGTGACCGAGGCTGACACTCAGCCGAGACGCTTACTTTAACAGTCTGTGCTGGACCTCCTCCCAGGCGCTCGCCCGGCCCTCATCCGTGTACATCCGGAAGAGGATGCGCAGCCCGCAGGCCAGACTGCTCGTCTCCTGCTTCAGAAGGTTGGGTTTGGACTTGCCTTTGAAGCCTGTGGAAAGGGCAAGTTTCTGTGATGAGCCAGGAAGGCATCTGAAATGGCAGCCTGTACAAGGCACACCACGTGAGTGTAGTCGCTGGCCTCTGCTGTGGGCGAAGCAGGGCCACGACGGCGGCACCTGGAGGCAGGGTCACACGGAAGATCCCACTGAGACTGGGCGGGGGAAGGTGTCAATGCATGGCTGGTGACCAACCTGACTTAGATTTCCTCCCTTCCAGCTGAGCACATGGTATAAAACTACTTTGGGACATGAAAGCCCCGTGAACACAGCTGTTCAAGGTGCAGTGTGCTGCCTGCTCAGCTGGTGAGCCGTTTCAAAGGCAGAGGGGTGAAGGCACAGGGCAGTGGAAACGAGGAGGCTCTGGTGAGCCCAGCAGGAGCCCCAGGCGAATGGTGGCAGGACTGCGGGCTGGAGAAAGGGGAAACCTAAGCACAGACCCCCACTGCTCCCCAGAAGCTAGGCTGTAAGAGCCAGGGGCTCTGTTTCACAAGGAGCCACTAAATATGCCAAAGGAATGGCCGCAGCCTGGTACAAAGGCCCAGGATGTAACAGGATGAGTAAAGCCACTGGCTTTGTTAAAAACACACAGTGGATTAAACAGAATGAGCACATGTAAAGCAGCCAACATACTATTTGGTATAGAGTCAATGCTGCAAAAACATGAGCTCCT